ATAAATATTGTACCTTGTATCATGTTTCCAGAAATCGTCATATCAGTCTGTGCCTGATTGCTGGTGACACCTAAACATAAGTTTCTAAGCATTAGATATTTTATTTATTTAGATTGCACCCCTCAGCCCTGTATTTTTTTAGTGGCTTTAGTTTTGCTTTGCTTTAATGTTTTGCTTCTTTAGTGCATGGGATAGAAATTGAGATGTGTTGTCTCACAGAAAATAGCTTTGCACATTTTATTACATATTGTATTTTGTGAATCCTTAACACATAATTTGGTTTGTAATGCAATACAACTTCCTAACACTATACCTAACATCTACATCACCTACCTGTGGTTACTTCAAATGTAGATTTGTTATTGAGATCATCTCCAGAATCTTCATCACTTGAAGCAGACTTTATTAAAAATAAATTATGTGTTTCAATATATATTATATAACTATAGAAGTGTATACGTATATATAGCAAAAGACAATGCAAAAAGCTTTGTTTACCTCCAGCTTTCTTTTCTTTTTTGGAAGATATTCATCCAAGGTCAATATACGTTTGTGTGGTCTTATGTATACTGGCCTATCTTTGAAGACTTTTTGTATCATAAACCCAGACAGTTGTTGACCAGGGGGTAGGTTGGGCTCAAGGAGTTTGGAGTGTACTGGCATAAGAATGGTTATTTCATCGAATTCGCCAAGTTTTGAAGGAAACAAGCTTTTTAGATAGTCAATGACGGTTGGAAATCCCCACTCTTTTCTAAGGGTAGCTCCAGACACAATGTGATTATTCTCTGATAAGAGGACCCGCAAACCCTGGCGTGGTACCTTATCATCCTCCGGGCCTCCTAGCAAAATCACATCTTTGATAAAACTCCCTGTTGCGGTTTTACTGGTGTCTTTTCGCTTTTGCCTTTTCGAGAAGTTGTAACCCAGGGCAAATCTTGGAGCATTTGTAAGCTTGTTTAAGCTGGTACTGGTAGAACTTGTTTCACAGGGCACAGTACTGTGGGCCGCATTGACTGCAGAAGCAGAGCCACCAGGGGAATTTCTAAACCTTTGTAAAAGTTCTGCTTCGACATTTTTATTCGAAGCAGATTCTGCGCTACTTCCAGAGCCTTTTTCTAGTTCTCTTCCTAAAGTATTTATGCTATCCAGTAGTTTTTTGATCGTTGGATTCATACTTAAACTTACTAATTATATGCCACCTCTAAAAGCTACTTGAGCACGAGGACGCAGTGGACGAGTCGCAAACGTTTATGGGACATATGCAGGTATCCCGTGAAAAAACTTGGAAAATTCGCATTGGGCTTCCTTCGGTATAGAAATAATTTATATAGTCTCAATGAATTGTTGTATGAATCTCGGCAAGAATATCTGGCAGATGCTTCTTCAATTTTCGATAAAATTTTGTCAAAATGATTAAAGAACTTGCTGAAATCGTCGAACGAAATTAGACCGTCATCTCCCGTCATCTTGAATTGTTCCACATTTGCGAGGGGACTGGGAACTATTAGGTGTGGAAAGTCGTTGAGAATTCAAGAAACTCGTCGAGAATTTAAGAAACTCGTCGAGTTCTCGTCGAGAATTTAAGAAACTCGTCGAGTTCTCGTCGAGATCTCAACACCAAAAGTGAGGAACTCGACGGATATATTTTGAACTGAACATGTCTGAAATGCATCTCGGCACACTAAATGCAAACTCAACAAGTCTTCAAATCTCGATAGCTTTTGGCAGCAACGGCTTGCCATACAATTGTTTCTTGCTTTTATTGACCACTCAACAGAATTGTCGATCCTTTCGTATTTTCTGTGTAATTTATACAAAGTGTATAAGATCTTGATAGACATCTATTTATTTTTTTCCAAGCCTCCTGCATTACTAAATACAACTAAAGGAGATGTCATTCACAAAAAAGAAATGCTTTCTGTCTTGTTCTCTAATCGATCAAACCAATGCTATTGAAGAATGCTTAAYTAATTCATGTGCAACGAAATAGTTTCAAAACTGAAGCCAATTTYATTATGATATAYAGAYGGGCTGTCAAAAATYARACTTYWTCAGACGTGCAMRTTAATAAAGTGTTGAATATGTATGAAACGGTAGKGTGTGATATGTGCATTCATAGYAGCATTCAGCTYGCATCGCCWATACTCTCAAAARACCAAGGTCTAYAGCTATGTCAGTTCATAGCAGTTCTTTTCCAGCCACAACCATGGCAACGACAGCCATCACGAAGGACATGGAGATGGATAAAACACAAGTAACAATCGTTGTAGTAATCAACGTACTCTTTGCTTTCATCGGAACAYTTGGGAACTTTCTGATAATCTTTGCTGTACTGAAAACACCCCAACTTCGCCAAAGACCATCCAACTACCTTCTCTTGAGTTTGGCTGTAGCAGACTTAGTAGTCACTATGATAGTT